AGCACACACAAACGGGCGGGTCGGCTCGGGTGGGCGGGCCCCAACGGGCGGGTCGGGGCGGACTGGGCGGGTCGGGTGGGACATGAAAGTGTGGTCGTATTCGAATGAGCACGCGCAAACCCTGACGGGCGGGTTTGGTCGGGCGGGCGGGCCCGAACAAGCTGGTTAGGGCGGGCGGCCCCTAACGGGCGGGTCAGGTCGGGAGGGCGGGCCATCGAAGAGTAGTGCAGAAGCGAGCGGCCGCCCCTGGGGAGAGGGGGCCCAGGCGCTGAAAAACTCATCCAAGCAGCGGGACAGCCATCCGGCACTGGCTGGGTAGGGATACTATTTTTAACAGAAACAATGGTCGAGCGAAGAGTGGTCGCGCACAAGACGCGCACCAGACGACTCGTGCAGGAGAACGAAGCCAGAGAACGCGAATCGACGCCCAGAGTCCAACACAAGAGCCCACACAAGACCGCACAAGACATCCCGCACAATCCATAGCTTCCCATATTTTCCTGGGAATCGACGATTGCTTGTGTCTGTGTGTTTTCTTCCCTCCTGATAATAACTGGGCGGCATGGGATCCTGCCCATCTGGCAGCAACGTGGAGGGGGAGGGGGGGCCGAGCAGAGGCCCGGGCGCTGAGATGCCTGTCTGGGCGTGGGGCAATCCAGGCGGCACGGCAGCACGCCAGTCCGGCGCTGGATGGGTACGCCGCCTCCTCCTCCTCCTCCTCCTCCTCCTCCTCCTCCTCCTCCTCCTCCTCCTCCTCCTCCTCCTCCCTCCTCCTCCTCCTCCTCCTCCCCCCTCCTCCCTCCTCCTCCTCCTCCCCTCCCCTCCTCCCCCTCCCCTTCCCCCCTTCCCCCTCCTCCTCCTCCTCCTCCTCCTCCTCCTCCTCCTCCTCCCTCCTCCTCCTCCTCCTCCTCCTCCTCCTCCTCCTCCTCCTCCTCCTGGCACGGCGGCATGCACATCCGACGGCAGCACGGGCGGCGTCCCAGGCGCTGAGCTACCCGTCCTGACAAACGAACAACACACACACCCATACCCAAAGGAGGGTCGGAGGGAGGAGGACCGGATATGGACATGGGCGCGGGTTGTCGGACCCTGGGGGAGGCTCCCGCTCGAACGGGGACTCCCCGTCCGACAACGCGCACTCATAGCCCCCCTCCGTCCCCCCTATGGGTACGGGTGCGTGTTGTCCGTTCGTCACGTCCGGCGTGTTCCTGGGATGGCCAGTCGCCCGCTTGGCGGCAGCGTGGAGGGCACAGCGTGCAGGGCACAGGAGGGACCGCAACAGCCCGCCATAGAGGCGAGGGGGCCCGCCGGGACACGAAGTTAGTGCGCATGCCATCCAGCAAGACTTCCACGAGGGCGGCGACGACGAGGGAGACGACGACGACGACGACGACGACGACGACGACGACGGCGATGAGGGTGACGACGACGACGGCGATGATGGTGACGACGATGACGACGACGACGACGACGACCACGACGACGACGGAACAACATCAACAACAACAACAACAACAACAACAACAACAACAACAACAACAACAACAACAACCATTTAAGACTGTTCGTCCTTATCTGCTCGAGTGTCCAATAACGCGTATTTCCCAAACCCTCGATACCCGCCCTCGTTGTCTTCGATCGAACCCCTTTTGGAGGGTATACCTTTCTTCCCTGCAGACGGGGCCCCGGCAAGCGGCGGGGCGGCCGCGGACCGTCGGCCTGGCCAGCGGCAGCGCTGATCGGCGGGGCGGCCGCGGACCGTCGACCCGACCCCAAGAGGGACGGACAGGGGACCGACCACGACGACGACGACGACGACGACGACGACGACGACGGCGACGACGACGACGACGGCGACGACGAGCGAAAGCGAGAGCAAGAGAGAACGACAGCAGGGCCACGAAGGACACGAAGTAGGCCACGAAGGGCGACAGCGGGAACACGAAGGGAATGCGTATGGGGCCACGAAGAGCGCGAACGAGTGGGGGCCACGAAGGGCAGATAATGCGGGGCCACAGAAGGTAACGATGGGGCCACTGAGGGTAGCAACTGGGCCACGTAGGACAATGAGGGGGCCACAAACGGCGGCAGCGGGACCACGAAGGGCATGCACATGGAGCCACAACGGGCGCGACTCATGGGTGCCTGGGTGTCGGGAGCGCGGCGCTTGAGCAAATTGCAGGAAATTCCAACGCAAGGGCGCTATTCTTCAGTAAATTGCAAGCAAGTCTCCAGCGAGAGCGCGACTCCAGAGCGCCGGGAGAGCGATTCCTGAATAAATTGTAAGGAACTCTCAAGCGAGAGCGCGATTCCTGAATAACATGCGAAGAAGTCTCGGGCGGGAGCGGGGGTCCTGGCTAAATTGTGAGGAAGTCTCAGGCGGGAGCCGTTGTTGTTGTAAGCAGGGGGGCCAGGGGCCAATTTGAGCACCAAGACTTTCCATCAACAAACAGGGTGCGAGCGTCGAGGGGCACACTTTCATTGAGAGAAAACAGTATGCACCAGTGGGGGGGATCAACAATAATTATGCTTCAGAAATGAGCGTTCAACAACAACAACATCAACAACAACAACAACAACAACAACAACAACAACAACAACAACAACAACAACAACAACAACAACAACAACAACAACAACAACAACAACAACGACAACGACAACGACAACGACAACAACAACAGCAACAGCAACAGCAACAGCGACAACAACACCAAAAACAAAAATCAAAAATAAAAAATAACGACGGCGACGACAACGACGATGAGGTCGACAGTAAGGTCGACTTCGGCGACGACCCATTGGAGGGGATCACTACACCAGCGGATTAGTCGGGCCTGGTGGGCGAGACATGAAAGTGTAGGGCCCCATCGCATCGGAGCACATCTCGGACGGTCGGGTCGAGACGGGCTAGCTGCATGTTCAGGTGTTGGACCCCATGAAGTAGGACGGCTACTTCGGCGGGCGGGTCATGCCAGGTGGGGGGTGGGCTAGTAAAGCATGGAGCCCCATCAAATCCCGCCAGTGCTCTGGGCGTGAGTAATTTGAGGAGTCTCACCAGCCCTCTGGGGGGGAGTGGTTTAGGGAGGTCCCCCTTCCGTCTTCCCTCCTCCCCTTCGGGGAGGGGTCTGAAACGCAAGCTTGAAGCACGCAAAGGACACCATAATTTGGGCCGGATTCTGTCTGGGCACGCGGCATCAAGGAAAAAATCAGATCAGATGTACAGTGGCGCTGGAAAAACTTATCCTAAGTACTGGGGCACTCTCGAAAAACTGTTCCTAAATCCTCGGCCTCCTTTCTGGGGCACCCTCCTACGTCCTGCGGACCCTGTCGGAAACCCTATCCCAAGTCCTGCGGCCTCCGTCGAACATCTGATTCGAAGTCCTGGGGTTCGTCTCATAAACCATATCGGAAATGCATGGGCTCCCCTGGGAGGCCCTCTCATACGTCCTGCGCCTCCCCCCCCTCGGAAACCTTTCGCCAAAGCGATTGCCTCGTCCTGTCGAAAACCTGACTGTGGGTGCTCGGGTTCGTCTAACAAACCTGGTCCCAAGTCCATAGCCTCCTCTGGGAGGCCCTCTCCTACGTCCTGCAGCCCCTGTCGGAAACCTCGCTCTAAGTCCTTGGCACCATGTCGAAGACCGTATCGTATCCTAAGTCATTGGGCTCCTCCCAAAAACACTAAAAAAAGTCATTGGTATCCACTGGGACGCCCTCTACTACGCCCTGCGGCCCCCGTCGAAAGCCCCATCTGAAGTCCAGGCCTCCCTGACGAAAACCGTGTCCTAATTTCTCGGGCCCCTCATAAACCCTCTGGGAGGCTATATCCTACGTACTGCGGCCCCTGTCAAAAACCTATTCCTACGCCGTTGGGACCCAGTCGAACATGTTGTCCTATGTCCTGGGGCTCCTCTCAAAAACCGAATCCTAAATCATGAGGTTCTTCTGGGAGGCCCACTCATAAGTCCTGCGGCCCCTGTCGAAAAACTTATCCGAAGCAATGGGGTTCCATCAAAAACCTGTTCCTAGGTCGTTGAGCTCCTCTCGGACAGCTGATCCCGTAGGAAACCAGTTCCCGCGACATTGGCCCCGATCGAAAATCCTACCCTACCTCCTTTTGACTCCCCCGCGAAACCTTATCCGAAGTCCGTGGGCTCCTCGAAAAGGCCCTTTCCTGCTTCCCCAGGCTCCTGTCGTACCATGAGTCCTTCGCCTCCTCTGAAACACCCGATCCCAAGTCAAGCAGAACGTCCGTCAAGTCAGTTCAAGTTTCCTGTCTCACTTCCTTCATATGAGTATTACCCCGCCTTCTTGCTTGAGCGCCCAGTGCGGGCTCCTGACTCACATGTACGTTCGGTCTGCGCCTTTGTGTTACCCTTCCTATGTCATTATGCCATTCACCATTTAGTTTTGGGATGCGACCTGGCCATCGAAATGGTTAATGACTTTCTCTGATCCCTGAACTGACCATTGCATCCGTGCATTGGCCCCCTGCTGCCCCATAAATGTCTGGGCGAACAGTGGAATCGCGCAGGCCATTCAGGAAGGGCGGTGGGATGGTTCAATGACAGGGTGCAGCATCGGGGTGACTGGAGAGCAACCCGAAGCCGCAGGGACTATCTGTGTTCTCCACATTGGGATATTCTCTGCCACATCGCTCCTCTGCACAACACCCTCTTGCAAGCAAGCCTTACCCTCTCACCAGGTCGGATCCGATGTGCGAGGGAGCCAACCATGAAACACATCGAAGGCCCCGTCGAACACATCGAAACACATGAAGCCACATGAAACACATCGCGCGACGAGACGAGCAGCGAAGACCAACTTGCTCGGAAGAGGCTGCGGTGTGAACGCGAACCCGCACGAGAGGACGGGCAGTGAATATACGCCAGCCAGCTCCGAATCAAATAATCGAGCGACGTCTCTGAGGCGATACAGAAAGAGCCAGAGAACCTCCAGCGCGGTGTGGCAGCGGCGCCTTCTTCTTCTTCGGAGCCGGCTCACCCTCCGAGGCGGAGCCTGCGCTGGCGTCCTCCGACTCCCTTTCGGGGGCGGCTGCGGCCTGGGGGAGGGGCACCTCGAGCCTTCCCGATGCGGTCGAGGAGACGTTCCAGCGCGCTGGAAGCGGTGAAGCTAATCGTCTTGGCTGGCAAACCGCGACTCCGCAACGCGCCCGCGCCCGAAGGGGTCTGACCCGCAACCCTCCTCCTCCTCCTCCTCCTCCTCCTCCTCCTCCTCCTCCTCCCCCTCCTCCTCCTCCCCCTCCTCCTCCCGCTCCTCCCCCCCCTCCCCCTCCCCCTCCCCCTCCCCCCCCGCAACCATTGGAGAATCACCTCGGCAGGCAGGCCCGGGCTCCGCGGCGCGCCCGGGGCTCCGCGCTGGGGCCTCCCGGGGCCCCCCCCGGCCACGGGCCCCCCGGCCCTGCGCGGCGGCGCCCTCGGCAGAGGAGCCGCGGCTCTCCGACGAGTCTCCGGTGGCAGCTTTTTCGGTCGGGCATGTCCCCCTGCAGGCGGATCTGGGGCGGAAGCTCTGTAGATATATACAGACAGGGCCCAAGAGCCGTCCCCGACCATCTTTTGTTGACCAGCTTGGGACACTCCTCCTGTGGAGGGCCAGGCCCGACAAGATGGTAGCTTCTCTGGACCTTCTGGACTCCCGGGCCACACCCCAGGGGCCACCGAGAAGAGCCCTCGGCTCGCAGAGAAGACAGGGCCTCTCGGTGAGGGGGCCGAGGCGGGCGCGGGACGTGGACCCTGGCTGGAGGCAGATACTTTTGGAGGCCTTCGTGGGAAGGGTCAAAGAGGATTATTAATTGAGAGATGAAAAAACGACCCTACCCTGGGTTACAAGTGCGTGGTCTGTAAACCTCCCGGGAACCCCCAAAGCCTAGAGCCGCCAGGACGCGGCACATCACGCAGGGTTTACCCTGTCAGCCCACAGGAGTTTCAGCGCACAGCGCCTCGTAAACCAGGGTAGGGGCGTCTTTTATGCCCTTGAATTAAGCTCCATTAAGAGGGGCTGTCACGCCAGGTTAGGCCGCGGATCGAGCGGGATTGAGCCCGGTTTGAGCGGGATGAAGCGGGATAAAGTCGGCTCCAGCGGGATCAAGCCGGATCAAGCGGGATTTCGGACCAGGACCAAAGTCAGGATTTGACCTCCCAGGAGTTGCGTCCGAACTCCCCTCGATGCACTGCCCCCCAAGCGCCGCGCGCCGCCCTTGCGCGAGAAGCTCCACCCGCCAATTGCCCCAGTCGCCCTCCTGCCGCGTTATCGGATGCCTGGAAATGGGCACAAGCACCAATCCAGAGGATTGCCTCCACAGGGGGAAGATGATCCTAGATTCTGGCGTTGGTGATAATATTTCGGCCACATAAGAATCCTGAATATTGACACCATCACCGAGATCGGGTCCATCTTCCCTCGGTGGAGGCACGCCGCCGATATTGGTGTTGGTGCTAACCTCTAGGCCTGCAATGTTATCTCCTCCGCGTATGGCATGTTACCCACATGATGTGCGCTAGTTGTGTTTGCTTGTGCGTTTTCCCATGCGGATGTTGTCAATCCTTCCGGGCAGGCGATCTCGCTTCATCTCTACCTTCATTCCCGCACTTCCAGCACTTCCAGCACACCCACATATCTGCACAAACGAACACCCCCGACGACCCGCTATCCTTACGAGAGCATGGGGGGGACACGGGAGACACAACGGTGACCCACCCAGGTCACCGGTGAGTGGGCGGCTCTAGCAGGCCCAGACCGCACCCAAACGATCACTTAGACGTCAAGGAACCCAAAGCCAGGCCATGACATGCACTGTGGCGTTGAGCTCTGCCCTGCTGCTCTCCGATGCCATGCTTTGCGTTTCAATGCTGTGACGTAATGATTCACTTCGCAATACCACGCCATGCCCTAACATGCTACACTCTGCCGTGATATTCCACGCAACGCTATGCCGTGATCTACCACGCACGCATCGCGCATCCTCTCGGGATCATTCTCCAGCTCGACATACGACCGCACGAATAGAGAGGATATCTACGCGATGGATAAGGATGTGAGGAAAGGGTAGGACGTCAGATATGACCCGAGCGCACCTAGCTTGTCTTCTGGCCCTCTTCTCTCCTCTCCTCCCATCTCCCCTCTCCTCACCAGCCCCTCCACCGATCCCCTTTTGCCCCCCCTCTTGTCTCTTCTCCTCTTCTCTCCAATCCTCCTCGACGCGCCACCTCCCGCCCGCCTCGACCCTCGTCCGCTACATCCCTGTGCTCCCCCACATAGAGGATAGGTTCCCCGCCCCCTCATGTCATCCATAGGCGCAGGAGTGTGGTACAAGGGCGCGTCGCCCTTGGGGGGGCGACGCTCACATAAGATTAGTGTGTTGGGTTGACACCGAAGGCAAGCCGGAGCTACTAGGCGACTGGTGTGGACGGCGACGGCAACAGCCGCGGGTGGAAGACATATCTACATCCGCGGCCTCGCGAGCCGGGCCCCTGCGCCGCGATCCCATGGACGCGGGGCGTTTGTTCGCGGATGCTCCGCGCGGAACGAATTCATGCGACCGCGTATCGGGGATCTGCTGACCCGGGTCAATCCAAACCCGGGTCAGTCAGGCCTTGCAGAATCCTGCAAGATCCTGCACCCAAACCCGGGTCAACGCGAAGGATCCTGCAAGATCCTGCAGGATCCTGCACCCAGACCCCGGTCAATGCGACCCTGGAGCTGCAGGATCCTGTAAGATCCGGCGCTCTGGCTGAGTCCCGTTTGCATTGACCCCCGCCTCCAGACCCCCGAGCGTATCCACGGGATCGCTCCCCGGCATCCAGACCGCGAGGGCCTGGGCGTGGATGTGTTCGCCGCTCGGGGAACAGGGACGGGGCGAACTCAGCGAAATACTCGGCGACGGCGGCCAAACTCATCTAGAAAAGCAAAAACTGCACGAACATCAACTTTCGGAGGTCCGCGCGGATTTCTTGGAACGGCGCTGGACCCCCTCCATAGCGCGCGGAGCGCGCCCAGAGCGACGCCGAGACGCCGCCAGGAGGTTCCACGCGCCGATCCAAGAAATCCGTGCCTTTCGCTTATTTCCCAAACAATGTTTGCATTTAGGGGTTCTTTCTTTTCCACGGAACTGGCCGCGATTGTCGGTTTAGCGGCTATGTTGTCGCCGTCGCCGCCCTGTCGCCGATTCGTCGCCGCCCGTCGTCTGGGACTGATTGTCGGTCTGGCGGCTATGTTGTCGCAATCGCCGCCCCCGTCGTGTGGGTGGGTGATTGGTCAGGCGGCTATGTTGTCGCCGTCGCCGCCGAATCACCGTCAAAAACCCGTCGCCGCCTAGAACTTCCTCTATGAAAAAGAATGAAGATCGATCACCACCACAACCACCCGGGTTGATCAGTCCCCCTGGAATAATTCAATATTTACGGACGATCCTGCCCCATAGTTTACCTAGATTTTCGAACTCGTGCCACCCTAAATAGGCCGTGACCGGCCCCCATTTCCTCATCCTCGTCATGATTTACAATGCGCGCAACATCGCTTATCAAAGAAACACGCCCGACAACACCATGCACATTTTTCATACGAAAAACAAAACGACACGCGCGCGTCGTCGCGCGCGCATGCCGGAATGATTCAGGATCGCCGGTCCCATACATATTTCAATGGCGGATTCCGTTAACAAAATTGGGAGAAGGTTGAAACAAATCATATTACAAAACAGAAATTGCGCGCTTTCTCGAATTCTTAAGGAAACCCATAGGTTATTCAAAATTTTCATCCCATGCAACCAAGGACGCTTCCCGCACACACATGTCGAAATCATTCGAAAGCCCTTGCGCGGTTGCCGATGGCCACAATTGTTGTCAACGAACAAAACAAAACACCAATCTGGCCACTCACGCCCGTGGGCCGCGCGCGCATGTCGAATAGTTCCAAAAACTGAATCACCGACCCGTGGACACCACCATCGTCACCAGCGTGATCAACATCGGCGCCGTCAGTGGCCTCGCAGTCAACACCGTTATCATCGCCACCAGCACCGCTAATATCATCATCGTGTCGGCCGCCGTCGCGGTCGCCATAATACCGCGCCCGCCCGAATCACCGCCTCACACTGAACTGCCCGCGCGTCAACGCGGCCTGCGAGAGGCGCTGGGGAGTCCCCAGCGGTCAACGCCACCGCGGCCGCGTCGGTCGCGCCAGAATAGCTTGCCGCTACGCTCTGCGCATGTCGAAATTCTTCCAACACATGCATACGTGGACACCATTATCGTCACCGGCGCGATCAGCATCGGCGCCGTCATTGGCCTTGCCGCCGTCAGTGTCCTCATCGTCACCACCGTCGCCACTATCAGCATCGCGTCGGCCGTCGTCGACGTCGGCATGATACCGCGCCCGCCCGAGCCACCGACTCGCACTGCACTCGCGCGTCTGCGCGGCCTGCGAAGACGTGCTGGGAAATTCCCAGCGGCCAGCGCCACCGCGCCCGCGTCGGTCGCGCCAAACTAGCCGGCAGCTCTGCGCGCGCGCCTGCGCGCGCTAGCGCGGCCGCATCGACGTGCCAGTCAGCGCCAAGCAGTTATCGCAATCGCCACCGCATGGGTTTTGCAAACTAAATCGCGGGCGGGCGGGCGGGAGATTGCGCGTTCAGTGGAGCTGGCTACTTCGAGTTCGGCAGCGTGGCAAGCACCACACATAATCTCCGCTCCCAAGAGGCCCCCAAAAGACCCCCAGACGCTTCCGTATTGCGAGCCGCCAAGCCAACTGCAATGCACTCCGCGCATACAGCCTTGCTCTTCCTCGCGACGTGCTCACTATCTCGTGCGGCGCTAATGCGCCGCCGCCGCGCAAAAACTGTTCCGCTCGCGCGCTGCGAACGTCAAAAGCCTCTTCACCCGCCCCGACTCATCTGCCACATCTTTCGCGGCGATGCCTCGCCGATCACAGCTTCCGCACACTACTCTTGCTCCTTTCGTCTTCCGGCGGTCCTCCACTTGGTTGCGGGTCGAAAGGCCGACCTCCCAGAAGGACACCCCGCGCCCGGGTGCACAGCGCGCATGGCGC